ACACAGCACCAGACTCATCTCTCCTCCCTCTTCCTTCCGGAACCCTCCCTGCCAGGCCCCAGAGTCTGGCTGGGAACTAGGCCAGGCCCTGAGCAGGGGGTAGTGAGCAGGAGTTTCGGTCAGAGTGCGGTCATCTTTGATGTTGTTCACTCGGGTCTGACTCCCCGGTATTTATTTGCAATTAAGGAGCTGGTTCCTAATTAGGCTGATGGCTGTGGGAGATGGCGGGACCGCAGCCTTGGAGCCACAGAGAGAATAAGATCCTCCGCAAGAGACTGTTCCCTTGTACCCTGCAACCCAGGCTGCAGACGAGAGGCGTGGAGGGTGGACTGGGGCTCTGTAACTGTGGGCTGTGCAGAGGGAACCCTAGGTTTGGGCATGCGGGTGCCTGTCTTCTCACAGCAAGCATGTCAGCTTGTGTCAGACACTGCCTGAGATCCAAATACACACATGGTGGGGGCTGGGGGAGGACATAGTGCCACAGCAGAGCGCCTCTTTGTTGTAGAAATACTGTTTTTCAGTTCTTCATTCTTCCCTCTGTCACTTTCAGGAGCTAAACCTTAACGTTTATAAAATGTTTTACCGTTTGCAAAAGGCATAACCATCCTCTGTTCTATTGTAATCTCCCATCGGGGTTAACCCTGGGTCATGACCCCCAACTCCCTAAGGAGCTCTGGCCTTTGAAGGGTTAGGACATGCTGTTTCTTTCTGCTGCACCCACTTGATCTGCTGCCAGAATTTCCGGAAAATCCAAAGACTGTAAATGAAGCGCTTGATTATGAATAAATCTATTCTACAGATGAGGAGACTGAGGGTTGGGGACATTCTGGAGCTTGTCCTTGGCTACACATCTGGTCAGTGATGGAGCTTAGGTCTTTCTCACTCTAAAAGCCTTTAGGATTGGGCCTCTCTGGTGGCACAGGCGGTTGAGTGCCTCACTGTGAAGCTGTCCTCAGCCTCTGCAGCACGGGTTTGATCCCAGATAGCTGGCGAGAATCCCACATGGCGAAGTAGACCTCTCCTGTCTCGCCCACTGCTCCCCTCAACAGTGTATTTCATCAGTCTGCCTGTTCTGTTCCCCGCTCTGTCTCTGGTGAATCCTCTCACCCTCCCGCGCATCTGGCCTGTACCCTGTTCTTGTATAAAAATAAATAAATCTTTAAATAAATAAATAAAATAAAAACCTTTAGGATTTCATATCATGTGTTAGATTAGAAATCTGGAGTTCATTCCTAATTCTGTCACCTCCTGCTACGTGTCCTTGCATAAGTCATGCTGTTGCCCTGAGGCCCCATCTCTGAGGGACAAGGACGTTGGACTTGCTCAGTGGTCCTCACAGGCAATCTCAAGACTAACTTTCATGGGTCCAGAGTGAGATAAATAAAAGACAATATAGAGAATTTCTTATAATCTAAGTGTATTAACTTTAAAATTTCTAATTTATGTCCTACCTGCTTTTTTACTATCAAAATACATTTTCTTTTGTGCTAGAAAATAATAGATGGTATTGAGGTTTTTAAAAATCTATACATGACAAAATAAAACACAAGTAAGCCTATGTCGTTCTCACACCTTCTGATGAAAAAAAAAAAAAAGTGTTAGCAAAAACCCAAAGTGTTGAGGCTCCCTGGGCAAGATAATGCCAGGTGTTATCTCAAATTCTGGAACCCCAGACTCTGGGCGCTGGATGAGGACTGGGAGTCCCCAAGCATGGCAGTGGCTTTCGTGGTGGATTGCTCTTGGGATCAGACCTGAGACCCAAGTCCTTGCCTGCCAGCCCTTCCAGGTTCTGGGGCATGACTATCGACCTCACCTGCTGGTTGGGCTTCCAGTGGGGGTGGGGGCAGTGCACAGATACTTGGGATGTATTTTATTTCCTCCCATCCTCCCTTCCTTTTAGTGTGTTCTAAGAGCACCCAAAGGTGTATGTATAGTCTTAGGACAGGCACACTGAGGACTGAGGCCTACCCCTTCCTCCTGGAGAGTGTAGACCAGCCTGGGGCACCGACCATTGGAACAGACGCCAAGGGAGGGGCCATAGTTAAGACTGGGTGCCCAGGAGGGAGAGGGCAGAGGTCCCAGAGGCAGAAGTCTATCTCCTGGAATTTGTAAGACTTGGCCAGGAACCGAGGCCTGAGGAGGTATTACCCAGCCCACTCAACTATAGAGGCCGCAAGGGGTGAGGCCTAGCTTAGGCAGCGTTCCTGAGCCAGGTGACTGGCGCAGACTGGGTCTTAGGGCGCTCTGGGGGGTGGGGAGGGGGGTCATAACTCAACCACAAGATACCAGCTCCTTGAGGGACACTGGGGCAAGGCTGGGGACATTTGGCTTGTCTAGGGTGGGAAGGACTGAGAAGAGGGAAACAGGACACCCCCCCACCCCACACACACACACCCATGCTTTGCCTTCTGTGCCCTGGGGCAGAGCTCCACTTTATGGCTGGGTGGCCCTCTCTGAGCCTTATCTGTAAAAGGGATAGCAGTAATCCCTCACTCCATGAGGCTGTGCAGTGACTGAGTCCTGGGGGTGGGGGTAGTGACTCATCAGCTTATGGGTAATGTCACCTCCAGGACTCACAGACCATGACAGCAGTTGTGGCTACAGATAGAAACACAGAAACTTAACAAAGGGGAGATATTTGGGCACACGTGGATTTTTGTGGTGAGGGGGTCCTGCTGGGAGGACAGGTACTCTGGTCCTCACTTGTGTACCCTCACCGCCGGGCCTCACTTTCCTCACCTGTGAAACCGGATGGTAACAGGTGAATGAGGGCTGTTCGGGAGCATACAGAAGGCCCTCAGGGATGCCCAGCACACTCCAGGAGTAGTTGCTCGAATCCCCACTTCTGCACCTGGGGCAGTAAAGGGATTGTCACTGCTTGGTGAGAATGTTGGTGCTTGTGCTTTATTACCAGGCTGAGATGGTGTTGGTTTCCTGGCTCTTGGGGACTCCCAGTCTTGGGGTTGGGTGAATGTGTGAAGAGGGGGAGACAATGGCTCTGGCTATTCCAGACTAGAACTGACCTATTGCCTGAAGCTTGGTCACCCAGAATGGACGAGAACTGTCTCTGCCCCTACCAAAGGGGCAAGGCATTTGAAGTCAGGGAGCAGGGATGGCGACAGTGTGGCAAAATGATACTATTTGGGGATTGATGTGGGAACCTGTGGCTGAGATCTCACCTCCAGACAGATGGCGAGTGGCATGCCCTTGGGACTGTACCCAACTCAAGGCCACAGCAGAACCAGCAACCTACAGAGACCCCTTGGGCAGTTTCCTGCTAGGGGCTTGGCAGGCCTCCAGCATGAAAGAGGGCGCCAGGGGCCCTGTCACTGTGCTGCTCTTGGGCCTCTAGACAGGGCTGGGCTGAAGGCAGATGGAGCCGGTCTCACCCAGTCTCCTGAATGAAGTTGTTAAGAGTATTTTCTCCCCTGGGTTTGGCTGGACTTTGATCCACTTCTCCTGGAGAAGCTGAGCCATAAAGTGCCTTACTTTGTTTTCCTTAGACCTCCAGCAGGACTTGTCCTTCGTGCCAAAGCCCCAGTCAGGGCCAGTGTGGGAATAGGCATGTCACCTCAATGGGCCATCCCGGGTGCCCACCTGCTTCTTAGAGCTGCATGTTCCAAGGAAAGGCAGATGGCAGGCTTCAGGATCTGAGAAGCTGGCCACACACGAGAGCAGCCTCTGTGCAGTCTTAGGTCTGGTCTCAGAACATCATTAAATTCATCCAGACATGTAGAGAGGACCTAAGTCGGAGGAGAGAGTCCACCACTAGGCCCCTCTTTTACAGTCTGTGGGGAAACTGAGGTCTGAGAGGAGCAGCATGTACTTGGGAGGGCTGGCTAACTCTGGAACATTTGAAGAGTGAGATTCTTTAGCACATGGGACCCTCAGCTCCTCTGTGTCACAGAAGTGGCTGAAGTTCTGGTTAAAACCTGCACTTCCTGCAACAGAGCTAACGCAGGGATTTGGGGGGGAGAAAAAGGGGGAATTCTTGGGAAACTCAGCGTAATAGTCAAAGTGGAGAAATGAGCGGTCAGGCAGCCTTATTGACACCAAGGCTACCACAGGAATGCCATGGTTCTGGGCTGGATGAGATCCCCCCACCTACCTTCCTATGCCTGAGTCCCCTCTGAGTGGGGATTTGTACCCCCTAATAGCTTAACCCCACTCTGTTCATGTTGAGGCTTGTACTGACTGGGTTCTTATCCTGGCCATGCCACTTGGTGCTGTGTGACCTTGGAGGCTACAGGTGTCCACCGGGTCTTGGATCCTCATCTGTAAAATGAGGGGAGGTTGGCTTCCCCACAGGGGCCTTGTGGGAGCCTGTGAGGTCAGGTGTGGAGTAAGACACACAGTGCCTGGGATGCAGGTACTCACTGTTCATCCCTCCTCCGGGTGCGTGAGTAGCCCTCCTGCCAACTTGTAAGAGTCCCTGGGCAGGCTCATGTTTGCACATCCACAGCACACAGTAGGTGCCTTGCTGTCTCTGTAGGTTCATGGTCTTTTTTTTTTTTTTTTTAAAGATTTATTTATTTATGCATACAAGAACGGGGTACAGGCCAGAGGTGTGGGATGGTGGTGGTGAGAGGATTCACCAGAGACAGAGTGGGGAACAGAACAGGCAGACGGATTGAAATACACTGCTGAGGGGAATAGCCGGTGAGTCAGGAGAGGTCTGCTGCCCCATGTGGGTTGCTCCCTGGCCGGGGATCGAACTCATGCTGCAGTGGCTAGGGACAGCTTAATAGGTTGCGTCTTAACCCCTTGCGCCACCAGGGAGGCCCAGGGTCATAATCTCTGTTCTCTCCTTTGGAAGTGTGTGTGTGGGGTGTGGAGGTGTCCTGCTGTGTCATATTTCTTGAGGATAACCTGGCACACAGTAGGTGCTCGCCTGTCAGTTGAATGCCAGAGGTCATCCGCAACAGTCCCACTTCTGCTTCCCTCTGGCACCCACCTCCCCACCCTGAATAACACCTGGGTGCCCTATGCTTGCCCCACAGATGCCAGCATGTCTCCGGATGCCACCAAGCCGAGCCACTGGTGCAGCGTGGCATACTGGGAGCACCGGACGCGTGTGGGCCGCCTCTACGCGGTGTACGACCAGGCCGTCAGCATCTTCTACGACCTACCTCAGGGCAGCGGCTTCTGCTTGGGCCAGCTCAACCTGGAACAGCGCAGCGAGTCGGTGCGTCGAACACGCAGCAAGATTGGCTTCGGCATCCTGCTCAGCAAGGAGCCCGATGGCGTGTGGGCCTACAACAGGGGCGAGCATCCCATCTTCGTCAATTCCCCGACGCTGGACGCTCCCGGCGGCCGCGCCCTGGTCGTGCGCAAGGTGCCTCCTGGCTACTCCATCAAGGTGTTCGACTTCGAGCGCTCCGGCCAGCTGCAGCACACGGCCGAGCCGGACGCGGCCGACGGCCCCTATGACCCCAACAGCGTCCGCATCAGCTTCGCCAAGGGCTGGGGGCCCTGCTACTCCCGGCAGTTCATCACCTCCTGCCCCTGCTGGCTCGAGATCCTCCTCAACAACCACAGATAGCGGCGGCCCTGGAGGCGACGGCCCGGTGTGCAGGGGCAGCTGGAGGAGCCACCCCCAGCTGCCCCCCACAAGAGGGGCCAGTGCCCAGAGACACCGCCCCCGCAGACGACCCCTCCCCAAATATCATCTACCTAGATTTAATATAAAGTTTTATATATTATATGGAAATATATATTATACTTGTAATTATGGAGTCATTTTTACAATGTAATTATTTATGTATGGTGCAATGTGTGTATATGGACAAAACAAGAAAGACGCACTTTGGCTTATAATTCTTTCAATACAGATATATTTTCTTTCTTTTCCTTCTTTCTCTTTATTATTATTATTATTATTTTTTTTTTTTTTAAGAAAATGATACAGCAGAGCTAGGTGGAAAAGCCTGGGTTTGGTGTATGGTTTTGGAAATATTAATGCCCAGACTAAAAGCTAATACCAGTCACTCGTTGATAATAAAGTATTCCGCATTATAGTTTTATTTTTTTAAACTGTCTTCTTTTTAACAAAGAGGGACATTCAGGGCTTTGGTGGGTTTCTGACCCATCAGGGACCCTGAAAGTTGATGTCAGTCTTTTACCAGATAAAAGGTAGAGGAACCCAACTGAAAAGGGAGGAAGGTCAGAGAAGTTTCTGTTCCTTCCTGTGACACACACAGGGTCTCGTGTGTCCATGGGATAGGACGGGGGCAGGAGGGGAGTGTCTGGGCCATCCAACCTGGGTAAGCTCTCCCATTCTGACTTGGAAGAGGCTCCAGTCCATACCTCCCAATTCTAAGCTGTGTGTCAGCTAGAAGACACTCTTTCTCACCACAAAGGGAAATGGCCTGAGGAAGAAATAGTGAGATGGTGGCTTTGGGCCCACCTGCCACCTTGTAGAACCCACAAGCTACTCTCCCACACCCTGTACCCACATTGCTTAGAATGTGCCCATGCAGGGCTGTTGTCGTGATTTATGCAAAAGCAGGTAGTTTCTTTCTAGTCTATAAAAGGGAAAAATTGAGGTTCTGGAAGGGTCAAGTCCTGGCTCATGAGACAGATATGGTTAGAAGTTACATCTCATTGTAGAGCAGAGCCATATTAAATCGGTTCTCTCTCTAGAGAAAACTCATAAAAGAAGAGCTTCTTAGCTAAATAACTAAGGGGACTGTTAGGTTGTGTATCTTCTTTCTTGGAGATTTACATGAGCACATTAAATGCTCTGAGAAGTCCTGTGTATTATCTATTGCTGCATAATAAATTATGCTAAAACTTAGCAGCTTGAAACAACATTTATTATCTCATGCAGTTTCTGGTTCAGGAATGCAGGAGCAGCCTAGCGGGGCGGTTCTGGTTCAGGGTCTCGTGAGGTTGCAGTCAAGCTGTCGGCCAGGGCTGCCGTCATCTGAGCTTCTCCGGGGCTGGAGGAGCCACTTCCAAGCTCCCTCACATGGCTGGTGGCTGGAGGCCTCGGCTCCTGGCCATGTAGCCTTTTCCATTGGGCTACTTGTGACGTGGCTTCCCCCCAAGCAAGGGATCCAAAAGTGAAGCTGCCATCTTCATACTTTTATCTCAGAAGTAACTCCTTTACCTCTGCCATATTGTTGATCTAGCTCTGATGGGAGGGACTGCACAAGAATGAATGCTAGGAGGTGGGCTCATGACCTGTGTCCTCTGCAAATTGTGCATTTCACTTTATTTCCCAAAGTTACTTACCAACTGCTAATAAATTCATTACTCGCCTGCTGATCCTGTCACCATAGCAAGGCACATTTGTCCCTGAGCTGGCCACCACTGACTTCTGGACACACACAAGGTACCCTGCACTGAGACCCTACCCTGAAGATTCTCGGGGGGCTATATTCTGATGTATTATTTGTGGGATGCCAATGTGGGAGGCACCTTGGGCTCAGGCAGTTAGCAGGGTGCACAGGCAAGATGGGATAAGGGTATTGAGTTGAAACAGGCAAGATGGGGCATAGGGGTTTCATGGGTTTTGAGGAGAGGAATTGGGAGGCCTCTGAGGAGGATTCTGCTTCAAGTCTAGCTCTTACAGGTAGTAGAAGGGGCAGGAGCAAAGGAAGGAGGTCATGCAAGAAGGAGGTCATGGCAGAAACCTGGAGGCATCCCCCTGCACAGTATAGCAGGAGGCAGGAGAGGGGAGTCTTCAACACTCATTCTGGAGCCAGGCTGCCTAAGTTCAAATCCAGACTCTGCCACTTAAAATGACCTGAGACTTCTCAAGGTGCTTCAGTAACCATGTGTAAGAAGGGGGTGAAATCATACCGACCTCAGAAGAAGGTGCTAATTGGGAGAAGTGAGCAGTACCTGGTCCAATCAGTGCAGAGTGGCAGTTAGTGACAGAGGGCACAGCTAGGAAAGGAGGCGTGGGTGGGCTGGTTTCTGAGTGGAGGTGATGAAAACTAGGCTCTTGGTAGAGGTCCTTCCCAGGAGGATACCTGCAGTAGGAACATGTCAGCAGATCCCTGAACCTATCCTGGCTTGACCCCTGCACCCCCCGGCAAGGTGCCTCTAATGCCCATCTCCTTAGAGGGACTCTTTGCCTTCAAGGAGGGAGCCAGCCATCCCACAGTGCCTCTTCATCCGGGAGCAAGAGGGACAGAGGTTGACAGGCCTGATTTATAAATGAGGAAACTGAGACCCAGAGCAGGGACCTGCTTGTCTCAAGTCTAATCTCAGATGCTGGGATATGACCCAGGCTTCCTGCCTCCCTCCACTCTGATCAGACCAACCATCAATATCCTTTTCCCATCTCCAAGATCCTCAGAGGGTGCCCACTCTGGCAGATATTGTTGATTCCCTCTAGAGTTAGACCTCACCAACCACTGTCCAGGGAAAACTTTCTGTGAGCACCCCCCCCAACCCCCACCGCCCCAGCCAAGACTCCATCTCTCCTGCACTCTATCACCCTTGGGTCTGAGCCACACATGGGTTTCCCCATGATTTTTCACTACAAATTAAGCATCTTACGCATTTGACCTCATGGGAGCTCCTGCAGGGAGCTTCCTCACTCCCCTTTCTCAGATGTAGAAACTGTTGCTTCCATTAGTGCCATCATTTGCCAAGCTTCCTGGGAAAAGGAACAGGCCTTCTATCTCCGATGCCAGCTGGGGACTCCTCCCACTTGCTGGTTGAGGCTGGCCTTGTGGGAGTAGGTCTGTCCCTTGGGGGCCTGCAAGCCTGAGAGCTGAATGAATCTGGGGATCCGAGGACATCAACCTCACAGCTCTTTTGCCTCCTAGGCCTGTCCTGTCCCGAAGCTGAGGACTCCATGAGGTTCTTAGATGCCTTGAGTTCTTGTGGCCTTTCTTCATGGGGTGTGACTCCAGTTCTAGACTCTCAGTTTACAAATGAGGAAACCCAGTCTTAGACATTATGGCTGAGTTGCTGATGTCACAATCCACGACAGACTCGCTGTCCTCTTGCCTTTCCAGTCATGGTGCTTACAGTAACTGTGGTTTCCCCCAGACCACCCAGGAATCTGGTGACTCAGGCTCCAAAGAAGACACTTTCTAAACAAGGCCAGGTCTCTGGAGAATGTGGTGGGAGCCGGGTCCCGCTAGGCCTGGGAAGAGAAGTAGGTGGAATTTATTGCTCCCAAACTCAAGTTCAGGTGTGTGTGTGTGTGGTGTATTACCTTCGAGTGACTAGGTTTTTGGAGAAGGGTTAGTACCTCCATTGCCTCCCCACCTATTCCACAGCTCACTCCCACCTCAAGGCCCCCCAACCCCCGTCTCTGGGGTATTCCCCATAGGAGTGAGAGAAGCAGTAGGGAGAAACTGGAGATCTGTGTTCATGCCTTAGTGAGAAAACCTGAGGCTGGGAGAGGTGTGTGAGAGGCCTAAAGTCACACTGCAATTTGGGGGCAGAGCTGAAAACTCAGGTCTCAGAATTCTGGGTCTTGCTTTTTCCTTAGTCTAGGCATAGAATCCATCAGTGCTCCACTGGCACACACACTGTTCACCTCTGGAGACTCCTGGTGCACCACACCTCCATGGCCTTCCCCTGCCTGTTCCTCCAACTGCCTCCCTGCTGTCCTGGAAGCTCCCTTCCCCCACACACATTGCAGGGGGCTGGGGAGCTTTAAAGCTGCAGCTGTCTTGTTATAATCCTTTCTCTGCCACTTACCAGCTATATGATCTGAGGCAAGTTGTTTAACTTCTCTGTGCCTCAGTTTCCTCATCTGAGTAATAATAATAGTCCCTATCTCCGAAAGTTAATGGGACACGTAAATGAATGAATCTATGTTAGGCATTCAGAACCATACTTTCAGTATGTATTAAGAACATAGCAGGTGCTCGCTAGTATTCTTTTGGGGTCTGTGAGCCAGTTATGGGAGGTAAGGAAGCACGAGGACTCAAATCCAGATCCCTTTAATTTGTTGACTTTGGGCAAATACCTGACCTGTGTGAACCTCAGATTCCTTAGAGAGAAAGTAGTTATGACCCCCCAGGGGGTTATAGTCTGGGCCACCAGAGCCTCTCATGGGCAGCTGCTGTGGCTTCTCCATGGGGCCCCCTACCCCTTCCAACCCACTCTCTACCCAAAATGATGGTCTGCGCCCAAATCTGACGTCTCACCTCCTCCTTGTGATGTGAGATCTTCAATGACTCCTGGTGCCCTCAGAATAAAGAACCTCTTACTAGGTCCTGACAGAATCTGGTCCTGTCCCATTTCTACCTGGCCAACCCCCTCAAAACCCACGCTTCAGATCTTTCTCTTTCTCTCTCTTCTTTGCCCAAGCCGCTCCCTCCTCCTGACCACATCCAGCTGCCCAGTCCAAGCTCTAAGCACACGGCTGCCCCCTCTGTCCTCCAGGGAATCTCCTGGAAACCAGAGATGTCTCATGTCCCATTTGTCCCCCTGGCGCTGGGCCAACCCAGCGCCAGGCAGAGGATGGGCTCCCTGGATGTCTGTGGAATGAAAGGGTCACAGAGGTAATGGATGTGGGTGTGTTTTATAAACTCTAAATGACCAAGCAGGCATCCAGAGGGGGGTATGTTTATTAGTATCTTGTGTCTCCATGGCAACCCCCAGCTGGCTTTTTCTAACAGGCTTCTAAGAACCCCAGCCTTCCCCTGTCCTCAGATCCTGGGCTCTGGGGGCTCATGTCCTGCAACCTTATTCTATCCCCTCAGGAGGTTGGGGGCGAGAATTCCTGGCTTGAGGAGGTGTCCTTTCAATGATTTAGAAGATAGACTTGGAGAATGTCCCAGCTGGGAAGGCATTTAGTCTTGATCTAGTTCCATAAGGATCAAGAACTGAGGCCTAGAGGACGGGACCCTAGGCAGGGTCACAGCAAGGCAGGGGCAGATGGGAGCCAACCCAGGGACTTGGGGCTCTTGCCAGAGCGGCCTTGCAGAAAAGCTGCCAAGGCTTCTGTGAAGCCAGCATCTGCTTGAGCAATGCAGCTGAAAGGTAAGCAGGGTGGGGTGGGAGGGTGTTTGTTTGTGTGTTTCTTTTTAATTGTGCTAAAGTATACATAACATACATATCCATTTTAAGTAGACTTTCAGTGACATTAAGTACATTTGCACTGTACCATCCTCACTTTCCATCTCTAGAAACTTTTCATCTTTCCTGTGCTTTTTAAATGTTACTGTAAAGTAGAAGGAACATAAAATTTGCCATTTTTGTGACTTTTAAGAGTACCGATCTGTGGCGCTAAGTACAGTCACACTGTTGTGTTCCCTATGCTTTTTAATAAAAGGCGAATGAAAACAAGTTTTAAAAGACTTAACCCTGGGATTTTGAAACCTTACAAAAGAAGACATGTGTCTCCATGGCCTGCTTGGTGGAGGGTGCTGGGACGGCAGTGACCCAGGGCAATGGGCTGATGGCTTTGCAATTCTGCAGACCGTTTTCAAAGCAGGTCCTAGAGAAGCTCATGGAATACAGGTAAGTTCCCAGAATTTCTGAATGTGAGACTGGGAGCCTCTGGTCGGAGCAGAGGAGAGATTTTTAATTTTATCTCCTGGAAGGAGGCCCATATCATGGGTTTAGTTGTCCTTTGCCACTGGACTCAATCATGGAGACCTGTCTAGACACTCTGGGATTCCCCTCGAAAATGAGAGGTGTCCTTTCAATGGACACCTCTAGACAGCTTGATGCTGCCTTTTGGGGAGCCCAGAGGCTTTAGAGAGCTCCTACACTTCACCCCAAAGTCTTATCAGCCAAAGGGGGCAGCTAAAGTAGACTTTCATATTGGACTTGCTAAAAGGAGTTAGGATAACGCTAGTAACAAGTCTTCCTTTCTTAGCAATAACAATTATTTCTGGAGGGATTTTTTTATATACTAGATTCTTTGTATCATCTCATTTATTTCTTGTCCTGTTTTTTCAGATGAGGCTCAGAGAAGGTAAGCAAGTTACCCAACGTCACACAGAGGTAGGATTCTCACCCAGTTCTCTCTAGCGCCAGAGCTGGTGTTCCTGTCCTGCCCCCTCCCATCGTGCCAGGAACAGTATTTCTGAACTTGACTTTCCAGGGCTGCTGAGCACACAGGCTTTGCAGCAGTTGCAGGGACTCCAGGCCCACCTCTGCCTTCAGCTAAGTGAAGTTGTTGTGCAAGTTTCTTAAGGTTCCTGAGTCTCAGTTTCCTCATTTGTTAGAAGGGACCTAAGAGCCATCCCTACCTCATAAGCAGTTAAGAAGATTCAATTAAATGAGTTTATGTTTGTGAATATAAATATTCACAAGCAGTTAGAACAGGGCCTGGCTGGTAATGAGTAATATTTAGCATTTGTTGAATTTTAAAAATATGTTTGTTGCCAGCTTTTTTTTTGGGTCAGTTTTGTTTGAACTAACAAATTAATTGGAAATGTTTATTTTTAATAGTTTCACTTTCTACATCTTGTCATTGAGCAATGAATAAAATGGAGCTTTAGGAATGGCTGGAGACATACAGAGAGAGAGAGAGAACACTGTGGACATGTGCTCAGGCCAAGAGGCACTTTCCTTAATTGTCTCCTTTTTTTTTTTCAAAGATTTATTTATTTATGCATTCGATGACTGGGGTACAGGCCAGAGGTATAGAGGGTGAGAGGATTCACCAAAGACAGAGTGGGGAACAGAACAGGCAGACTGACTGAAATACACTGCTGAGGGGAGCAGCGGGTGAGACAGGAGAGGTCTGCTGCACCACATGGGTTGCTCCCTGGCCGGGGATCAAACTCATGCTGCAGTGGTGGATAGCTTCATAGGTTGCTACTCACCCCCTTGCGCCACCAGGGAGGATCCTTTCCTTAACCTTCTAACAGAATCATCTAACGTCTCTCCGTGAGTTTTTGTAGAGGTTAGAAAAGAAAAGTCTTTCAGCACGTACTGGAAGCAGACCCTTTGGAAATGGCAACCCCACCCCACCCCCTGCTCCTTTCCTTTCTTCCTTTACCCTTGGAGCAAGGATATTTGCTGTCTCTGGCTTTCGTGACAACTATTTTGACTCTTTAAGGCTCTACAACTTTGTGCTACCTAAATACATCAATGAATATCAAAACCATAGCAGATCCCTGGAAACCAAGGCGCCTGGTGACAGGCCTTGGTTGGCTCCTGGGCTCTCCTCATTCCAAGGCTCGGGGTGGGGATGGGGAGCTGAGGCCTGACCTCCAGGACCACTTGATCCCACCTGGGCCCACAGGCAGGATCCCTGCCACACCCTGCCATGCTGAGGGTGTCCCTGCCACGGCTTTTAGAGAGGAACCAGCTTGAGCCTTATAGGATTTTAAAGTGAGGAATTGTCAGACAGTCCACATATTTGGGATCTTGCTCTGTCTGAGTCCGAGGCTGGAGGTCCCCAGGGTGTTCCTCTAAGGGATTACTTGGGCTGGCCTGCCACTGGCCCAGGTGGGTAATACCATCAGCCATCTTCGATGACAGTTTCTAGGCCTCAGAAGCTGGTTCCCAAGTGACTAGGAGAAGGCAAACAGTCCTTTGAGATGAATAGGTTCTTGAATTTGTCGTGCATGGGGAGAGAGGAGATACTGGGGAGTGAAGTCCACAGGGCCACTGAAAGCCATGTTTGAACAAAGAGGTTTCCCCCACATTCTCCAGCTAGTCTTACACCTGAACTGCTGCCGATGAGGATGGAGGAGCAGCCTAAGACACAAGTGAAAGCCTATGAACATGGGCTATTTTCTAATATGTCTGAATTTGAACAATTTGTGGGTGTCCCCTGAGCCTGGGTTTTCTCATATGGAAAATGGGGATACCCCTTACCTCATAGAGACCTGCAGACTCACATGAGGAGGAAGCATGTCATTTTGGGAATTGATTCCCCAGGGGCTTCTCCACAAATGTTGCAGTCGGAGGATTGCCTTTGTTCTGAACTCTTTTCAGGGATAGCTGATCGCCAACAACCATAGAAGACAATGCTGGTGTCCCCCTCTTTGCCAGGGTAGGTTTGTTTACTGCTCATTATGAGGGATTTGCATTCCCTGAGCTCAGTTACTCTCCTGCAAAGTGCCCCACTTTACAGCGGCAGTGCTGTGAGCATGCAGGTGTCGCCCATCTCTCTCTGCACTACAAGGAAAGTGACGCATACACGCTGCTCACTTTGCCAGCTGTGCCATAAGTGACAGAAGTTGTTGTCTCTGATCCAGGGCTCATACGCCTTCTGACCGCATCCAGGAAACAAACTCGTTCTCCTGAAAATAGGGTCAAATCTGAGCTCCTTCACACTTCTTGCCCGCTTTGGTGGTGATGATAGACTGCTCCAGAGACATGGCTTTCAGGAAGAAGAAAGCAAAATAATGGAATTTTGAGGGAAATCGGTAGCAATTTGTTTGGCCAAATTGTTTGGCCAGGTGGGCAGTGAGTGGCCCTCTATTTTATTGTCCTTTCATCAGGAGGTGTTGGGGAGGTGATTGCAGACTGAGGATTGGGCAGTAGGTTCAAAGCCAGCTGCAAAAAGGGAGCCCTAGGTATGACCCCATTCCCCCCAGGTGGGGGGTTTCCTCAGCAATCCAGTGGTCAGCCTCAATTCCCCCTACTGGAGAAGGCAAGAACCAGAATGTGCACTGGTGGGCAGAGGGCGCCACCACCTTTTGGACAGTGGTTACAGAGATGGGCACTTACAGGGAGGGCAAAAGAAGGGAAATTCATGACTGTTATGGGCAGAAACCAGAGAGACCATTAGAACATTTGCTGGGTCACTTAGAGACTAGAGGGTGGGCACAGCCCTCTTGCTAAGGAAGAGGGACAATGCTTGCTGCTGACCAAGCCAACGTTAGATGCTTTCAGAAACAACAGTAGAATGTCTATGAATGAGAGAGTGTGACCTTCTTGGGGGAATGTCCCGGAGCAGACAAACCATAGGTGAAGAACTGCCAAGCATTAGGGTCCTTACTGCCCTGGATTGGAGTTGTACTGCCTAGTGCCCACTCTGTAGAACTGAAAATGGGTAATGTCAGTCTGCTCAGTGGGCAGAACTCACGGCTGTGCCCACAGCTCTGCCAGCATGCCCCTCGATGAAGCTTGTCATATATTTTTTCAACTCTTAGATATAGCCAACGACTGGCTAGTTTGTCTTCCTCTTGGAAAACTATAACTGGAAACTTAAATATACCCTCTTTGGGGTCACAAGCTGTGTAAATAAGTTGAGGCTGGTAATTGAACCGTGTGGGTCACTCCTGTAGATGCCCAGGGTAAAGGCCTGCGCTTTAGTGGGAACGACAGGCCTGCCCATCCTGCCCAGAATTTCTTCCTGGACCTCTCATCCTAACCTCAGAGACCCATATGAGTAAAGGCCTCCATGTTTCCATGCTGGGTGCCAGGCTGTGGCTCCTGCCAAAAGTTGACCTGGTGCCCTGGTAGTGGGTACAGCTCCCACCCGCCTATAGCAGACTGACTATCTTGTGGCGATGGGTGGGTGCCTCCTTGCTGGGCTACTATTCCTGCCCAATCAGCCAATTCCAGCCATAGCATTGTGGCCCTTGAAACTAAGCTAGGTCATGACTTCTGTTTGCTGAACCATTCACAGTATGACAATGGCTTGTCTCTTATGGCAGAAAATTCTCAACAGTGGCTGATCGTCAAGGTGTTTGATGCCCTACTCTGTTCCCTGCAACCACAGGTATGGTCTTGTTGAGTCAAAATTTCCCACTCTAGCTCCCTCATCTGCTCTCGGTCCAATCACCTGCACATGGTGGTTTGGTTGCTGATTGGGGCGGCTGACCGCAGCCACCTCCTAGGCAAGGACCAAGATAAAAGGGGTGTAGGTGTGGGATGTGGGTGTGTGTAGGGGATGTATAAAGAGATGTTTGGAAAATGTGAGTTCCAGTGTAAGTATTCCTGGGCATGCTACTTCCTACTTTCCCCAAACAGCCAGCTGAGCTCACGCTAGTTCTTACCCAGGCTTGGTAGTCAGGCCCAAATGGGCTGCAGGGGATTCACATGGAATTCTGGTGCAATTTTATAAAAATATCCTGTCACTCTTGTACTTGACTCTTCAGGAAATAGGGGATGTTGGGTAAAAGGTGAAGTTGGGCCCCCAGAACACAGCACACTCCTTTTGTGCCAGGGAGGAAGAGCAAACACCCAGGGCCTGGGGAGGAAGCACCTCAGAGGCTAGGCCTTCCTCACAGGGGACCTGGCCCCGGCAGCTCTCCAGCTTAGCTGCCAGTGTCTTCAGCATAGCCAACTGCTGGGCTAGCCACCCCTTGCTGGATGGCTCTGCCCATGGATAGATGGCCGTTTCCTTAACCTCCCCCCAAACCAAGACATTATGACAAGAGAGCCCCAACACCTCTACCTTTCATGCAGAACACCTGTCAACACCCTCGATGGCCACCCACCCACTCCTAAGGCTCAGGTATCCTGAGGGAATGAACACCCTCTGAAGAATGGAATCAACAGAAGAAGATGATGGATGTTTACACATAGTCATTCCCAAAACAGTATAATGCCAGTTCTCTCAGTTCATGCTCACAGCAATACTTCACGCACCATCCACCGACTGACACCTGCTTTACAGATGACAAACAAAAGCTCAGAGAGGTCAAGAAATGCCCCAAGGTCACACAGTCAAGTGGTGGTGCCCGGTTGCAACCAGGTCAACCAATGCTCTTCACGTTCCACGCCCCTGGCTTTCCTCATCTAAGGTGCTAGGATTCTTTCATGATACTGTCAGACCCTAGCCCATACATAGCATTTCCTGCCGCTTGGCCTATGCCCTGGCTCTGGAACTGGGAGACTTAGAAGGCTGGGAGGAGTGTGGCGCAGCCAGTAGCCTCCCTACCACGTCCTCCCCTTGTGGCGATCCCAGTTTTGTCATCTGTGAAGATGTTCCTACGAGCGGTTATAAGGAATGAATGAACTCAGGAGCAGGAAAAGGCTTTGGGAAATCAGAGGTTCTGATGTGAACACTGGTGTGGTCCGAGATGGGGGAGAGAATGAAGGCCTTGGTAGAGGACCTGGGATGGAATGAAAGCAGAGTGGAAAGCATCAACGAGACACAGAGCCCAGGCTAGGCCTCCCTCAGGAGCCTCACATTGTCACCTGGGATGCTGCCAGCCTTCCTGAAATCTTAGATCTTCCTTTGGGTTAAGCAGTGCCTTTTCTAGAGTCTCCTATTAAAATGCTCCTTCCCTTTAGAGTCCTGATCTTGTAGTTTACATGTAACAAACAAACCTCCCACATGCCAGGAAGCTTACATATATGATCCAGTAGAACACTCATATCAGGACATTCACACTAACCGTTTTAGCCCCATTTTACAGATATGAAAAAATGAGGCCCAGAGGAGTGCAATAATTTGCCTGAGTTCTCACGGGAGGTAAGGGACAGAGCCAGGGTTTGCAGTGCATTGCTTTTGCTTCAGAGTCTGGTTGCTTTGGTGCTCAATCTCCAAATCTTGCTTATGCTGTTTCCTCTTCCTAAATGCCCTTCACCTATTCTGCCACTTAATTGTCAGACTCCCTTCTATTCATTTAAAGTAGTGATCCTTATGAACATTTAATATCATTTAATGTATTTTTTGTTTTTAGAAGACACATGCAAGAAATGGCACGTAGTGAGAATTTCCTCCTTCCATCCAGGTCCCAGCCAGCCAGACCCTGTGGGTTACCTGTTTGTTGGGTACCTGTGTATCCTTTAATATGTTCATTTCTTGGGGCTCCAGCTCACCTGTTCTTTTCTCTAGGACCCATCCCCTAACAGTTGAAACTCCTCTCATTTGGCTCAGGTAAACCCTGCCCACTGAGTCCCACATAGCCCAGACCTCCCTCCCGTTCAGGACTGTGTGTGTGTGTGTGTGTGTGTGTGTGTGTGTGTGTGTGTGTGTGTGTGTGATTGATGGCTGGTCTATTTTCTCTCTCTAGTTTGGATGCTGGTTTCTGTAGGCAGCACAGGGCCCTGAATGGTGGGTACTCTGTAAATGTAGGGTAAAGGTATTGTTGGAGCACTGGGAGTGCCTTCAGGAGGTGACAACACAATGCCAGACTCCTTGCTGTCACAAATTCTGCCAGAAAGGAACATTTGCTTAGTAAGTGGTGCTGGGGAAACCAAGGAGATGGTGAAGAGGGTGGGAAGGGGAGAAAAGAGCTACATCTTCACCTCGCACTATAGAGCAGAATAAATTCCAGATGCATGAGACTGCAAAACGTGAAAACAATGAAACCATGAAATAACTAGAATAAAATGTTCATGATTTTGATCTCTGAATGGGAAGGGCCTCTCTAAGCACAGCAGTAATGGAAAAAATTATAAAGGAAAAGATGTATATATTTGTATTCTGAAAATTGGAAACTTCTGTACATCAAAACATACCACAAATAGAATGACAACAAAGGCAAATATGTAAAGAGTGCTTGCAAATAAAAAAGAAAAAAAATCTAAAAACCTCAGTAGAAAACCTTCACTGCCACCCATGGGAGTGGACATGAAAAGAATGAGAATATGTTTAACCTTGTTAGAAAATACAAGATTCAATAAAATAGCAAAACATGTTTTTTACTATTACTTTTTAAAGCAGTGTTCAAAGGGAGAAGTATTGCTCAAGATAAAGTGAGATAAACAAGGCAAATCTTCTCTGTCTGTGCTCATGGTACTGTAAGTGGGGGCAGCTTTCAGGAAATAAGTTTCTCAATATAAAATGTTTATGCCCTTTGTTCCAGCAGTTCTTTCCCCAGGGATCTCTCCTGGGAAATACTCATTTTTTTAATAACAGCTAAATTTTGGAAACAGTCTAAATGTCAATAACAAGGAATTCCAGAAATGATGGCACAGCTCTGTGACTTTGCATCTGGGAGAAGGGGAGAGGAGATCAAGGTACAACTGGGTTGTCTTTTCCACTTTCCCTTTTTTGGAACTATTTACCTTACCATACACATGGGTTATTTTTATAAGGGAAAGACTGTGTTCTAGACTATTTTTAACTATCATCATTATCATTATCATCATTATCATCATTATTTTAAAATCATCATTATGTAGTGCTGAGAAAAAGCAGATGGTAAACCTATAGATACTGATTCTTCATCTCCACATATACAGCAGGCTCTGAATTCGACTCTTGACACACATAACATGTTGCATATATACAGATAGAGTGATGTTATGATGCTAGTGTCTATATTAATATGTGCTTCAAAGGTAACAAATGTTTTTGTGTTTTCAAAAATACTTTCCCACTTTTTTCAAATTTTCTACAATGAGCATGTATTATTTTAATTATATTAGGTAAACGTTATTATAAATTATAATTATAAAAACAGATACCCCATAATAAATGTTAATCCAGGAGGGATTTGGTGTTAAATCTCAATTAAGCATTACTAACTGCCAGTGTCCTGCTTAATTGAAGTTTGACTGTATTCAATGACAGTAAATGAACCCTCACATTTGTATCAGTTAATAGTGTACTTCTACACTGGCCCACCTCCCTTGATATCTATAGCACCCCTGAAAAGGTGCTGAGATTAAACACTACCCACAAAAACATAACAAAAGTCACAATGGAAAAAATGTACATACACGCACACACATACACAACTGCTGTGACCTTGGGGGGTTATCATTCCTGCGGGCTCCAATCTCATATAAGCCCCAGGCTGCAGCTTTAGGTGACCAGGCCACAGCATGGCTTTCTTACTGGCTTCCCAGCCTTGCTGTGGTCCAGTAGGCACGGGTGGGAGGAGGTGGAGCAGCAGGGCAGGGGAGGAACAGACGCAGAGTCCCCTCCAGGTGACAGGGTGATGACGCTCCCCTCATTGGCTCTGAGGAAGACTTTCCCTGGTCGCTGTCTCTGCAAGACCCACCCAGAATGATGCCCCGCCGGCCAGCTCTTCTTAGCCCAACAGTGGGTTTGGCAAAGACGTGGCATTTCCTTGGAAGAACAAAAGAGAAGTCCATGTCCTGCATGTGCTTCCAGGGTAACTGTTTTTCTGTTCTTTCAGTCATTGGATTCATGTGTGGTTTGTGTCTGGGGCACTTGGGATACAGAAGATACTCTGAGCCTCAGTGCAGAAGCCCCACTGCGTGGATTCATAAAACAATGCTTGTGGGTGATGGGGGCCATCCTGCCCTTGCCAGGTTCATCAAACCCACCAGCAGTCAGGCTATAGATGAGAGAGAGATAGATAACAATAATGATGGTGGTGATAATGATGAGCTAAAAGAAATAATACTAATACTGAAATAACACCTATCACTTATTGAGTACCTAGTATATGTCATTTCTTATCATTTAATTAACCTATCATTCCCATGAAACAGGTCATGTTATGTTCATTTTACAGATGAAGAAACTGACAGGTGAAATAATCTGAATACTCAGTAAGTGAATGGCAGTTAGAATTTAAATTTGGTTGACTGCCCTTTCCAAACTCATGTCCAGAACTTACCTGGTATATGGTTTTCTCAATAGCACTTATTTGAAATAGATTTAATGAGTGAGCACCTACTGGATGCCAAGCCCTGGCTTAGATGAATTTTACATGGCCTCTCGTTGAGGCTTTGTGGGATGTGTGTAACTATTCTTACTTTACAAATGAGGAAACTAGGATCAGGTGTTTGTCCAAAGTCACATGGGGTCAAAAATAGGTCTTTTCAGGCAAGCACTAATGAATGAGCCAGGCGCCACCTGGACCTAGGAATCAGCGTCCCAGAGCCTGAAAGGATGAAGCAGCAGGTGGGGCTGTTGGGTGGATCCTGTCTCCACCCACAGGCTGCAGGGGCTCCAGGCTAATTATGATTTTGCACAAGTCACCACCACTGCTTCAACTCTCTCATCTGAAAAATGGGACCCCCAGGGTCCCACCGTGCAGGGTGCCAGGAGGACTAAATGACATGATGAACGTGACATGCTGAGGGTGAAACCGAGCCAGCCTGAGACCCTGACAGGTGAGAGGTCCCTCTGCGCCTCCCCACTCTCTCCTTCGCTACTGGCTTCTGTCACTCGGTCAACAATCCTGGGTCTGTAAAACTAGCCTGGACTCCATCCTCTCCTCCCCTGCCTGATCCAGCACCACTGCCATAAGGGGTTAAGCTCCCTGGCTGTTTGACCTTGTGCAGCTCACTAGCCTTCTCTGGGCCTGATGTAGCCCATCTCTGGGGGCCCACCACAACCAAGTGAGCTCCCACCCCTGCTCTCTCCCCCAGCCCATGCTGCCCTGATGCTGAACCTGGGCGAGGTCTGCATGCAAAGGCTCTGGAGCCAGAAGCATCGGCCTCCTGCCTCAGGCACTGTCCCCAAAGCCGCCTTCAGAGGGACCCCAGTGCATTCCAGTGACAGTCCCAGCCTCTTTTCTCCCACTGCCCCTGGCAGAGATCCTCGCACTCCAGCAGGGGACAGGAAAGTGACTCAGCCCCCACAAGCCCCTCCTCAACCTCGCATGCACGCAGGCTTGCTTTGGAAAAAGGGTGGTCTTCATTTCTTTCTTTTCCTCTTTTTCCCTTCAAGCACTTTTACTTGTCTGTCCCTGAGCTGTCTCTCCCACCAGCCTCCACATTCTGGGCCAGGAGTCTGTGGCCAGTCATTCTCTGTCCTCCTGGTGGAGGGTCCTGCCATCAGGGCGGGCTGTGTGGCCCTACTGTGCGTGGTGGGAAAGAGGCTGGCCTCTGGAGGCCGCAGCTGGCCCCCTATTATATTGGCTTCTATTAAATTGAAACACATAGCACATCTATTACACAATAAACCACAGCTATTTCATGGATCAAATTAAGTTTTATTTGGGCAAATTACAACCTTTCCTACAGTCGTGCCTTTGTGAGGCCATTCCTTTTTAATAAAAGCAAGTATTTCTGGGGCTGGTCTTCCTGGACCAAAGCTCCGTGGTGGGTAGGGGGCTCAGGCCAGGACTGGCAAGAAGGTGGGAGTGTGTGTATATAAGTGTGAGTGTGTATGTGTGAGAGAGAGGAATTCTTGGGACCCCTCCTGGGAATGGATTTGTCCACCTTCTCCCCCTGCCTCCCCATCCTGAGGTTGCCATGGAAGTCTGCAGAGAACTTCTCATTAAACAAGAAAATAGCAGCAGCGGCGGCAACAGCAGGAGGAAAGCATTTCCCGGAATCCCGGAGGAAGCATGAGTCACAGGGTCTGCTAAGTGAGCCCCGCATGGCCACTGTGGCCCCAGCCCAGGAGGCCTGGAGCGCAGGGCCAGCCATCAGGACTGCGCCAGGCCTGCCCGCATAGACATGCCCACTGCCCAGGCTGACGCAGTCTCCAGGAATGCAAACAAAGCTGGGTGGAGGGGACTTCTGAGGGCTGGGACGCCAGGCCAGGCAGGAGGGAGCAGGCCTAGAGGAGAGACCTACACAAGGGCTTTGGAACTCAGATGAGCCCCACTCAGGTGTCCACATGTCCAGGCCTCAGGAAGGCTCTTGCCTCACAGTGTCAACCTGCTCAGCACGTCTGTGCTGCTGCCGCTGGGCTGGGGCAGGAATCCCCCTGGATCAGCAGCGTCAGCATGGCCCAAGAATTGGTCAGAAATGGAGATTCTCAGGCCCTCCCCCAAACCCACTGAATCAAACTCTGGGGGTGGAGTCCAGAGATCTCTCTTAACAAACCATTCTGGCAATTCTGAGGCACCCTCAGGTTTGAGAACCCCTGCACTTAATGATCAGTAAGTCAATTTCAAACTCACATCTGCTGGTTATTTATTCAGAAATTAAGAGGTAAATCTTAGGGTGTGCCAAATGCCAGGCTCCCTGCTGGGTAAATGCTAACACCAACCCCATGAGGTCACGTTATGGGATCATTTCTCTGTTTTATAGGTGACATACGTGCTGCTTT